AACTACAACAACAAACAAAACCAACCCCCCCCCAAAAAAAAAACAACAACAACATATAAACAACAACTTCAAAAAAAGTACTGGAGACGAAGAAAATTATAGAGAAAGCTTAAAGCTAACGATTTCTGTATGTTATATACTGATAAAAACTACAGGCACATGATAAAATGTGAAGAAATCAGGAACTATACAGGAACAAGAACCGAGACACTATTTTCAAGTCTACTCTATGGATAGGAAACATGGACACATACAATACAAACTAAAATGCTGCAGACATTTGTCAACGCTTGTTTAAAAGAAAAAGATTGTACAGTTTGTTGGCCTGACATCATGAACAAATTACAAACTATTGGAGCAAACCAACCAACAGAACATAGACATAGAAATCAGAAAGAGAAAATGGAAGTGAATTGGACACACATTGGGGGTACCTAAAACAAACATAACCCATTGAGCCTAAAGATGTAACCCACAAGGAGAAAGGAGAAGAATACCCTGAACTACTTGAAACAGGGATTTGGATTGGGAGCTCATGGAAATGGGAAACAGCTGGACAAAGGTGGAGACTATAGCTCAGGACAGAATTAGATGGAGACCTTTTGGGGGCCTATACTCAGGTAGGGGGTGAAAAACACGGATGTTTAGTCTTAGTAAGACTTTTACGACCCCTGCAACACAATGAGGTCATACAGCAAGTATAAGTGTCGAAAATAAGAGGTGTTGCAATTGAGAAACACTTAATTAACACAGAGAAGAAGGAGGAGAGAAAACGACTAAGGCTATGTCAAAGAAATGAAAGACTAAACGTGAGGCAGCGTTGTGGAATCAGGCTTTTGGGCATGTAGAGTTATTTATATCATCTTATAGCTTGTTCACTTGTCTTTATTTGGATGAAAAAAATATTCATTTATCTTGAATACAAGTCGAGATATTCGCGAATGAAGGAGGTGGGGTTACCTGTTTTCAGAGGTAAAATTAGTGAGAAAAAGGCAGCCAAAAGATTAGTTATTTCCTTAGCTTAAGAATCCGTGGTAACTGAAAATTTACATTTTTGTGTGCTTTTGATCAACGTTTTTCAAACAAATCCACTCAGAAATTAGTTCTTTAATGGGCATGAAAGGTGTTGAGCCCAAAATTTTTTTGGGATAAAAATTCACAAACCATTGAAAAAAATGCAAGTTTCTTCACTTTGATTATTTTGACGAGAGCCTGATTCCACCACGCTGCCTCACAAATTCCACCAGAGCCACTAACCGCCCATGATGTTGATGACACAATAAAAACTGAAATAGAGTGAAATACGATCGTGCGAAAGCCTTGTTGGAAAAGTTGCGACATTTATCAGATCTTAGTCCAAGAAAACATTTACTAAAAATATACGCAGGAATCACACAAAAAAGGCAGGGTATTTGAAGAGGTGAAACTTCCAGATCAACATCCACCTCTGATAGAACGGGTCGGCGAATTCAATGCTAGAACTGTGCAATATTTTAAAAATGTAATCGTAAATGATTCACTGCAATTGGACACAGCTCAGATAATTTAGGAGGCGGGCAGCTTTGACCTTGTGTCAGGAACAAACCGGGCTAAGAGCGATTCAAAGTCTCTTAAGACAGACGGACATAGATTTACACTATCCCCTCACGATGGTTGAAGTTATTTCTTCGTGCAACAATTAAGAGCCCACAAGCTACATCACAGACACAAATGCCTTAACATGGTTCCGACATCTAAGGTCAAAACACTGATTTGAACCCAATTTGAGCTACAATTTTTTTTTCTTGAGAGCACACCTTAACATCATGGTAATGTGACAGGCATGTTTTCACAATACTAGCAGTATAAGTTTTAAGGTCAACTCTGATGCCAGATCTATGGCCTTTAATCATGAAAATGAACAAAAAGTATTCCGGACATTGAACAGGCTCTATGTTCTCTCTTTTCGATAGAGAGGACCTTAGAGGTGAAGTGACAAGTGAATGACATTGGCCTAATACAGACGAACCTGCTCTAACGACCACTTGTACAAGACAATACCCTGTACAAACGACAATTTCCTACTTCCCCTTACGTTTTTCTAACTTTAAAATGGCACTGGCCAAGAAGACCACCGGTCTAAGATGGCAACTTTTCCCACCACAATAGGTGGTTGTCTTTGAGCAGATTCAAATGCATTTAGTCTAACAAGCCCACCCCCCCAGAAAACAAAAGATAATAGCATCAACCCTTGACCATGTCAACTATGATGGGAAAACCACAGGCTCCTTCTTTTAAAGAAGTGAACGACATATTCATGACAAGCTGTTCGAATGTACTAGACAAGCACATAAAAAGAAATAACCCCATGTGGGAACCCCATTGCAGACACTGTGACTACCACGAGGAGACCGTTGAACATCTTCCTCACTGCCCATACTTGGCAGTTCTTCTTCGACGCTAGCTCCTACACACACCTACAGACTTACAAAGCCCGCTCTACTCTGGCGTTGACCAGATGACAAGGACATGTGGTTTCTTGAGGGAGGCATTGCGCTGCCAAGATCGAAATGCTCGCAGCTAAAGGGATTTGAAAACAACAACAACAACAGATTCCTAGATTTTGATTTTAAAAAAACCCATTGCAGTTACGTAATCATGGCATTGATTTCATAAGCTGGAAAAATACTTTATCAAAATTAGATTTCTAAATGTTTTTTTCTTTAACCGAGAAAAGAGAAATAGAGTAGGTACAAGTGTTAGAAGAATGAAATAATTTTCTCTCTATTATGAAAACAAATAATTTTTTTGGAAATTATTTGGGGGGGGGGGGGAGAGAGGGAGGATCTTATGACATTTTAACAGCTTTTTGACAATATATGGATCACTCGACAGGTGAAGAAACTGGCAACAGACATGCATGAAAGAATAACAGCAGGAAAAGGATAGTAAAGATGAACGCGAGATTACCCCATATTCTGAGAGAGAATCATCCCCTGATTTCTTTCCTTATAAAAGAAATAAACCTATCCGTGGTTAAGTTTGGGGGAAACGGTAAAGACAGACGCTGAAAGTACAATACACTTTTTAAAAAATATCGAAACAAAATTAAAGATCGAAGTAAAATGAAGTAAAACTAGAAACGACGAAAAGAAATCAAACGCAGTGGGCGTAAATTAAATAAAGAATAAAATAGAAATAAGAACAAATAATGACAAAGCAATAGAGTCATCATTCTTTCGTCGTCTTTTTGAGAATATCAACCAGGACCGGATCGTCTCCTTTCTCCGCCACGTCCAACGGCGTCAAAGACTCCGAGTTGTAGGCCCTGACGTCTGCTCCGTGCTTCAAAAGTAGCCTTGCTACATCCTGGTACTTCTCCTTACCTGGAACCGTGGGCCTGTCTTTATTTCCGTTCAGGTTTATATCAGTTTTGTCCAGAGTTTTTTTAAAGTTTGACCTGTACAGAGCTGGAAGACACATCCTTTGGTCTAGGTATATGTTTGCCTGTAAAAGGAAGTTGGGTGCAAGAGGTGTTTAGTTTATACCGTGTGGTTTTGTTATACTTTGAAAAGTGAGTTTGCGGGGAAGAAGAAGAAGAAGAAGAAGAAGAAGAAGAAGAAGAAGAAGAAGAAGAAGA